TTTCATCCTAGAAACACTACATTGTAGAAGAGCACAATGGGATCAGCTGTACAAGGTCAGCTCCTGGTTCCCCCTGGTATGTTGGATTGTACCCTGTTTCAACAAAGCTGTTTGTAGAATCCCACGCTGCTCAGCAAATTCTGTGACTGTGGACCTTGAAGTGCAGGTCACTCATCTCATGGAGAGGAAAGGGAGCTTTGGTTGCTGAGCTGCTGATACACTCAAGGGATGTGAAAATTGAATAGAAATCTTGCTGGCTTTGCTACTGCTGTATGATTGACTCTGAAGTCCTGTTCCATGGAGTTGCAGAGGGTAAACTTCACTTAGCTGCCATTGGATTAATGAGTTCATTGATAGCTTGGTGGGTTCCCAGAGAGGAAAGCCATCAACCACATTTTGTCAGAGCAGAGTCCTCTAATGTGCTTTAATAAGAGAGAAGAAAATTTAACCTCTCAGTCACCTTTTGCTGCAGAATGTAATCTGGATATTAAACCGTCCTGCATTCTGTGTTTTTTTTGAACCTTGGTTTTCAGGAGAAATAGAGGGGCTTTCTCTGATGTCCTGCAGTAGCTTGTGTAGTCTGGGGGAGGCTGGCTGCAGGATGGTGACCTGGAGGTTCACAGGATCCATTTTCCTGTGCTGATGAATCTTGCTGTGAAAAGTGTGTGTCCTGAAATCTGGAGCATAAGCTTGATTTCAAATATTTTTTGTAGCATGGAGGAAATTTGTCTTTAAAAGCTCCAGGCAAAAATTTCACCTCTTTCTCTTGGCTGCTTGCCACTGTCTGTCTTCTATAAGCTATGATGATGCTAACTGAATGCAGAGCCTCTCATTCTTGAGGCTTTATTTCCTCAAGCCTTTATTTGATGAGAAAGAGTCTGTTCAGGGTTCAGCATCTCCTTTGATCTCTCTGTCATGAGAGAGAGCATCTTTTGGAAGGCTCATGCAGAACCATGGAACTGAAGCTGAAGAAACACTAAAGGTGAGGTAGGAGCTTTCTTGCTGTGCAGTTTCCAAGTCTTCTGCTCCACTGGAGAGAGAGCAAGGAGGCTGTGTCCCTTTTCTGAGGCTGAGCAGAAAGCATTTATCTTGGACCTTTGTTAAATGCTGGAAACTTGAGTCCTGTACAATGCTAACTTCCCAGGAGTCATTAAATACACAAACCAAGCAGTGAAAGGGAATTGTCTTTTATTCATTTAGCATTCTCCCACCCCTCTACCCCCCATGTACATAATAAGTCATGTGTTCAGCTCAGCAAAGCAAATGGTCAGGACACCATCCTGGAACTTTATTTCTTTTGCCCTATCACTGCCCTCCCATGGAGTACTCCAAATATTTGTCCAGTTGGTTCAGTTTGCAAAGGGGAGACAAGAACATTTCCCCTGTTCCTGGGGATTTCTTTTTACTTTTCAGACTCCTTAGTTGCTGTAATGAGTTGAAGAGCTCCAAGTGAATGCAACACAGTAGGGTTATCAGTGGAAATTTTGTATGGAATAGCAGAGAGCCTGAATCTAAAACACCAAACCAAGTGAGGGTAGTGGTGACCGCTAAGTTCCACTGTCTGTTTTGAAGGTACAGCAAACCCTGCAACTTTGTATGAATTTAATTGCTTTTAAGTACACCCTAGCAATGCAAATGGGGTCTAATAATGCCAGTATTATTTTTGTGATTGCATCTGCATAGGAAGCCAGTCTTTGCAAGTAATTAACTAATTCACACTTGTGGTAATCCAGCCCATCACCCTGTGCAGGGAGAGGCAAACACTGTGTTTTTGGTAAACTTTCAGTCTTTTCCATGGCCCCACATAGGAATTGATGCAGTGGGCTTACTGGCCATAGCTGAGTCTGGTTTTTGAGGGGTGTGGGAGAGATTCAACATCTTATGTGCCCTGTACCTCTGCAGCAGGAGGTACATCCTGTGCATATGCAGGGATTGCAAATACTGTTTGAGAGAGGATTAAGAACGTATTAGAAAGCTGTAGACTGGGGAAATGTGCCCACTGTTCCACTTCTAGTGAGAAGCAAACAGTAACTGTGACTTGGCAGCTCTCCTGCCTTTCCTGGTCACGTCTGTCCCTGCTCCCACATTGAGAAGTCTCCTGCATCCCTCTGTGAGCATCTTCTCCCAGCTGTTGTGTAGCATCTCAGGAGTATCAGAAATACTGCTCTAAAAGGCCATTTATTTAACCTGATATTTTTATCACTGAAAATAAATACACAGACAGTATTTGTTTTAAAACTTTGTCTCTAATGGTGTAATGCTCTGGGAGAGCTCACAGCGTGTTAGTACAGCTGATTGAACTGGATGTACATGGTATTGATACATCCTGACACTGTGTCTGTCTGCTGTTATTAAGGCCTGGAAGTGGTGAATGTCTGGATGTTCGATTGGTTAATGCCTGTGCACTCACATGTATTTGTATTGAAGGGGTTTTGTCCTCTTTTTCTCCATTACACTGACCTCCAGGCTAGGGTTTGTTGCTCAGAGCATTTGCTAACTGTTCTCTGTAAGGTACAACTCACTGCCACCAGAATTTGAAGTCTAAATGCCATCTAATTGCCAACTTTCCTCCAGGTATGTCATCAGGTCATCAAACCTCCACTTTGCTGGTGGAATATATTCATCATCTATTATATGGGGTTTTTTTCCTGTAATTCAGCTACTTCATCTAACTCAAAGCTTGAGAAAATCTGTGATGTTCAGTTCACTGGAAAAAGATGATGAGGTATACGAAGGCACCAAACCCTTAGGTCCTGAATGGGGCACCCTTGTAATTGACACTTGAGCTCCATGTGCCCCAGAGAACTCAGCTATGAAATTGAATTAATGCTGGAGCTGATTTGACTGTGAAGAAGCTGCCACTGGTTGTTCAGAGCTGAATAGCTCTGCAGTTATAGCTCTCCTTGTATAAAAGATATACCAATTGGACATACACACTTGCAGTTTCAGCAAGCACTACAAATATCTTTAAAGGCTGGAAGGATTCTGACTGGGCAGCTGAGATGATTGAGTTAAATAAATTTTGAACCGATGCAAACAAAGCTGGATCTGAAAGCATCAATTTTTTCTTGCTTTGGTTTAATTGAAGGTGGGTAAAACAGAAATTAGAGGTCTAGAGGAGCCAAATGCCAGATCCACTCACATTCTGTGAAAGTAATTTCAAGTCTGGAGACTTGTCAGTTTGTCCTTGTAAATTTGTTGAATGCTTTCTTGATATTTTATTTCAAATACATTTCCCTTTACGTCAGAAAAATCTAACAGTATGCATGGTGCATAAAGTTGAAATTAAAAATTTGAACTAAATTTCTTTTTAATATAAACAAAGAGTCTATAAGAAAGTCTACTGATGACTGCTTTAAAGAAAGTATTCAGGAAATACAAACATTTTCATAGATAATTTATGAGAAAAGGGGAAAAAAGGATAAAAGTTGAATGGTTGTGATCATCCAGGAGGAAATTTAGAAATCTTTTTACTGCATGTCAATATTGTCTGACAATTGTTTCAAGAACAACCTCAGTGTGTCTCAGTAAGGAAAGGTGAAATCAGTCCTGGTTGTTGCAATGACTTTTTCATTGGTTTTTGACAAGTTGAAATGTGATTATTTGGAACCACATTGTGTTAATGCTCTTCTGTGTCCAGTGCTCACAGGGGATCTGTTTGACTGCACTTTGCTTCTCTTTTATTCCTCCCCAGAGTTCAGCAGCTTGACAGTTTACATGTCTGTGTGGCCAGTGCAGGGAATGCTTAACTCCATGGCCTCTTTTTTCACAGGATCCCTGCCTGTTTTACCTCCATGAGCTGCTCCTTTCTTTTCTCTGACAGACACCACTGCATCTGAGTTTGTGCACCTTACCTTTTAAGGCTGTCTGAGGATGTGGGCTCATAGAAAAGTTCCAGTGCTTTTGGGTATGACAGATTTTAGAGTATGTGGTGATACAGAAGAATGGAAGAGTTTAGTGATTGGCTAAATTAGTACAGAATTATAGTCTTGTTTGCTTGTTTCTTGTTGAGATACTTGAATTGTATTGTTACACCACTTAAATGTGGAAAATGTTAGATGTGATCTGTGCAGAAAAGAGAGCAGGATTTGGTTGTAAAGATTTCTTGCTCTTTGAGTACTGACAGCATATGGGAACCTCTAATTGTATAAAAGTATCACTGAGGTATCTTCCATAACAAAGGACAGTATTTATGAGCTGCCCTGCTAAACCATCACTTTTCCATTGTTGCTTGACATTTATACTGTAACTCTTGTGGTCTGCTGCTTCATTCCTTTGTCTGTGACAGACACCCATTTGGAAAATACAAAGTGGAGCCAGTTAACACTGAGTGATCTTAAAACTAGGCTGAACTTCTATTTTCATCGGGGAGGAAGATGATGCCATCAGCTAATTTGGTCGATCAATAGCCCTGTTGGTGATAAGGTTTCAGAGCTTGTGGTTAAAAGCTGATTGCACTGGATCCAAAATAAATTTGATCTATTGGTTTCCACAAATGTAGCATAGCCTGGAATGATGTTTCAGTGCTGATGCTTAACTGGTTTAAATAATGATGACAGACTAGACTGGTGCCTGCTGTGAGGACGCTGTAATGCATGAACCCTGGGCAGCTGAGCACTTACTTATGTTTTTTACAGTAGTGTGGAGCTGTCACTCTCTAGCAAAGGTTCATTATTCTAAGACTGGGGAGCACAGTGTTTGCTGAGCAAGTGTAGTGACATATTTCCTGAAAGCAAGGTTTGATTCTGGTCTCCTAACAAGAGAGAGGTGCTGGCAATGATTAGTCAGGATTGTTAGCTGTGGCTGGAGAAATAAGTGTCCCTGAAAAATTAAAAGTTCTGTGGCCAAAGTGCAAAAAAGTGTGCAAATCATGTTTGTGATAACCATTTGGGCATGTGGTTTTGGAAAGGATTCAGCTGTGTTCTCTCTTCATGCTGGGTGGGACCATATTCTGCTGGGAGATGAACTAAAATTAACTGATGCTTTCATCTGTGTTTCAGTGACTATATAATGGCTACAAGACCCACAGAGGTCACACAGTCACCTGAAACTGGCGACACAGTCGAAGAGTGCACAGGTAAGCAGTTGTTGTCTGAATGTATAGCTGATTTGGAAGATTTATTTTTGTCAATTAGTCCAGTCTGCAGTGACCTGTTTTGCAGTGTTGTCTTTTGGGGGCTTCTTTTGTAGTGTAAAGAAAATTCTATGTGTCTTTGTCAGTTGTCAGTATTATGGAAAAGAGGTTTTAATGTGCAAAACTGGAGTGACATATCCCATTGGATATTCCTTTTGATTCTGACTTGGATTTTGAAAGCAGGGTGTTAGAGCTTGAGGGGCTGATTGTTGTGCCTGCATTGCTAGATCCTGCAGAGCTGGGAGCTGAACCTGTTAAGGAGACTCTGTCTGTGGGAGCTGTGTGAGTACACCCCCAGCAGCCTCTCTCTTTCTCTGCTTCTGGCCACAGGCATTTGTTACTTATTCTTTAATCAGGTGGAATGGTCTGATGCAAACAGTGTGAGGGGATGGAATAATAGGCAAGAAAGGAAAATGTCTTACTTATGCCAGAGACTTGTCTACATTAAAGGGTTTTTTGCCAGTCTGAGACAAGTATGAGTATCAGGAATAGCTTCATGTCTGAAGCAGTATCAGGAATAGCTTCATGTCTGAAGCATCTCTGGAGAAGTGGCTGTCACGCCATTTGATTTTTCTCTCTTTTCTTTGGCTAATGTTTTGTAGTCAACTTAAATGTTTGTGTTTTAAAGGTCATCTTGCTTTATCCTTTAGAAATATATTTGCCACTATCAAAATACTATTAGAAAAGGTAAGCAAATGGCAAAGAGACTCTTAGTTGAACTCTGATTGGCAGAGGGATAGAGGTGAAAAAAGTGTAATAATGGAAGTGCAGCACTCTCTGGATTCTTATATTTATAATCTAGTTTTTCATGCAGTCTAGTGCTATCCCAGCAAACTGGTAAGCTGTGAAACCCATGCATGAAAATTTTGTACTCAGAAGATTCAGAAAAGAGATCAAATTCTGACCTGGGTGATAGGAAAAGCAGGAGATCTCATGATCTGAAATGTTGGCTCTAAACCCACCAGGAATATCTCTGACCCTAAATAAACAAAATTTTAAATAGTTAAAGGCTGCTGTGCTGCTGCCAAGGAGTTCAGGAGACACTTGGCTGGACCTGGATAAAGCCATTTTAGAATCTTCTGTTTACTTCCAGTGTAATGGAGGATTCCCTTACCTCTCTCTCTTCATAATTAGCTCATGATGCAAAGGCTCTAGGAGGCTCAAATCCCCATCCTTCATAGTCCAGTCAGTCAGACTGATTTCTTGAGGTTTGCCTTATTGTCTGTAGTACAAGGCTTTCAATGCATGCTGCTCCTTCTTTGTGGCAGGAACCAGGTTGCTGTCCAAAAACTGTCAGCATCCAATGTTATTAGTACTGAATTTCATTATTTTATTGCCTGCCTGCCAATATCTGGTATTTTTTATGAAGCTAGAATCATGACATTTTCTGAGAATCTTGTCTATGGGTTGGAATTTTTTTTTCAGGTGTTTTTAATGTTGAAGTTATCTAGTCCTTGGGTTTGAGAGAAAAAAAAATATAATACATCCTGACTGCACCCTCGGAAATCAGAGACCATAGATTATTCCCAAATGAATGGTTTAACTGAAATACGATCATTGGCTTTCCAAATCAGATGTGCCCTATGCTTTCTGCGGTTTCAGTTTTTGCTCTGGAAGAAGCATCCTTTTCTATCCTGTTATAGGGAAGAACTGTTCAAAGATCAGAAAGTCCTGAGTTAATTGTCTCTGTACACAGGAGACACAATGAAATAGGCAGAACACATGCAGTAAAAAATACAGAATACACAAACTTTACAAACAGATATATAAATAAATACAAAGAGAAAGGAAAATGCTTATTCCTGCTTATTTTCTGTTACAGTTGGCTAAAACATAGCATAAGCAACGAATTTTTGGGAAGGCTTTTCCTTTTTAGGGCAGCAACCTAGAAATTTAGTATTTTGTTTTTAATGCCATAAAACTGAAGATTGGCAACTATAGGATTTCAAAAATCACCAGTGGATGAAGGGGAGATAGGCATAGTTGTTTGAGCTTGGATTTTAGTTATGCAATGATTTTTTATTTTCTATTTTAAGTATTAAGTTTCTCTTGTATTTTATTAGTTCAAGTATCATTGAACATTCTACCAATTTAGTGTTATGTTGGGCTGCATCACAATGCACTGAGGTGTAGGCACCTTTAACTTAAAGGTGGCATCCTTTTAGTGGTGTGCAAAACCGGGCACAGCTGTTCACAGCAGGAAACAAACAAGAGCATTGTCTTTCTGAACCATGTCTTTTTTGTGCTCTCACATAGAACAATCCCACAGTTTTCCTCTTCATCCAGCACTATCTAGTAGTGATTTTATCTATTTTTACATAATAATATGGCAAGTGCCAGTCTCTGGAACTGCAGGGAAACTTACTGTCTTCTCATTCATTTGAGACGACTGAGTGTTTGCAGCTGAGCAAAGCATGGTTGAAGAGGAGTTACTGCTAGAGGGGATGTACCCTGCACATCAGTAATAAATTAGAGTCTAGAGGAGGCACTGAAGTAACTGATGTGTCTGCATCAGATACTCTCTGTTGCACAATGGTACAAGTGCTGTCCCATGCCAGGTGGGGATTGTTCATTGGCAGTGTTTGGAAATCCTTCCTGTAGCCTCCATTCTAAAGTTAGCACCACTTTTGATCTAGACAAGTATTTGGAGTAGCACCTTGGCAATGTTTGCTTTTGTGGCAAGACTTATATCTGTTTGTCTTAAACGTCCTTAGGATCACTTGTTACTGTGTGATGGGTTTTTTGGTGTGGAGGTTTTGGGTTTTTTTAACACTCTCCTGGTTCTCTGGAAATACCAGCATCTAATTTAGCTCATCAGTAATGCTTGCACTAAAATGCAGCTCACTTTCTGTCTATACAACTGGCAGTTCACCAGTGCAGGTGACCAATGAACATTGTTTCTCATTTAGATAGCTTTTGAGTTGCAGAGCTCCTTGCCTGTCTCAAGGTTTGCCATTTCATTCTTTGAGTCATTGACTGTGTTAGCAGACATTGCAGAATTGATAATTTTGGGGAACTGCTTTTGTTAAACTTGTTAAACTTTTGTTTTGCCTATCTAAAATAAATCAGCTTTGACAGGTTTCCTGGAAGAATACACATTGTCTAATTGCTGATATGAAGGACAGGAATGCTCAGGATGTGTTTCTAAAGACTCTGAGGCACTCTCATCATGCTTGTTTTACTTGAGAGGCTCTGTGCGCTTGCTGTGTGACCTGTCTTCTCTTGCCAGTTCTTGCTATGGGTGCAGCATGAAACTCACTGAGCTCTGTGGGAGTCTTAACAAATCCCAAACCCTTGGGATTAGCTCTGTTGTCTGGGCCACAGCAATACAACCTGAATGTTTTCTGTGACTGTCTCGTTCACTTATTGCCTGATTTGCAGCGGTGGAAGATAAAAAGGCCTTCCACTGATAAACCCGCCCTAAGAGCAGCCATATCCCATTGTCACTGTGGGACTCCAGTGAGAATTCACTTTACATGGTTTGAAAGCTGCTTTGATCTCAGAAACAGCCCAGGGCACTTGTGCAGGTCTTTTGTGGCCCTGCACAGGGTAGCCGTGTCACAGGCCGTGCTGGCCACCGTGGCAGCAGCCTTGTGTGTCTTGGCACGTGGTGCTGGCACTGGGCTGGGGAGCAGGGAGGAGACAGGGGGAGTAGATCTCAGCATCATTGTTTATTTCTCAAAGTGGCCACTGTCTGATGCAGCTGTGTGGTGGCACAGTTTCAGTGCAGATAAGGCCCGTTGGCAGAGATCCCTACATGTACAGGGCACACGTTGAGACAGAGCATCACCAACTAAATCATTGCTGGGAGAAGACAATTATTGTGTTGAAATAATGCCTTGCTTATGAAAGAATCCTCCAGCTGTGAGCATGTATTATGCCAACTGCTGTAAAGTATTAATTGAACAATGAAGCTGGCTCAGATATGCAATGATGTTATTGCTCTGAGTATGTATTTAAGTCAATCACAGGGGTCTTAGTACAATAGTTTGGCCCAAACCACTTAAAGTGACCCCTCAGTGTAAGGGTCAGGGACAAAATGCAATACTTATGTGCTGAAAGAAAATATATATAAAGATGTTGAAGTATCTTAGATCTTATTAAAAAGATAAGTGATGTTTCATGGTGGGGTTTTTTTTTGTTCTTTTTGTATTTTCATTTGGACTATGGAAAATCTGAAAACAAATTAATAGTTTTGTAATTGTGTTCTTAGGGCTACTATGTTTGGGGTTTCCATGTCCTGCAAGACAGTGTCTTAATTTAAGTTTGCTTCTTTGTCCCTGGAGGAGTTGATGGTTTTATTTTGGGACAGTTGTTTAATGTGGAAACAGATATTTTGGTTTTAGAGTTTATAAATTATTTTTCCAGTTTTAATCTTTTTGCCAATGTTGAATGTCCTTCAGGTGTTGTCTCCTTAGAGCACTGAGTAAAGAGTAAGCAGAACTAAACTAAATAAAGAATGTTAGTATCTAAAGACATTGACAGCAATTTTTATTGAAAATATACCAAGTATAATCACTGTTCAGTTGTAGATAGATACAGTCTCTATAGAAAGTATATTTTTGCATAGACTGGAACCTAGGTAGGCACCACTGTTGTCAGCTTAATGCCAGCGTCGCTTTATAGGAACCAGATGTAAGGATTGAAGCTTCACCTTTCACTGGACTCCAGCACTGAATTATTTACAAAGAAGCTGACTGAAACTGAATTGGCTGCTTTAGCTTTGAGGCTTCCTCCAGAATTTAAGAGATAACATTATCCAAGCTAATCAATACCACCAACTTTCAAAAATTTTCATTTTTTTCATGTTGCAGGAAAGAAAAAATCCAAATTTCAGACTTTCAAGAACTTCTTTGCCAAGAAGAAAAGGAAAGAACCTCCACCTCCCAGGGGAGAGAGTAATTTAAAACCTTGCCAGTCCAGCAGCGATGTCAGCGTTGCTGTGCTCCACACTACTGCACTTCATTCACCCAGGGAGGCTGGGTAAGCTGGCGGGGAAGGAAAATAAATAAAAGTGGACCTCTCACAGCAGTGGGATGAAAGCAGGAGTTGGCCCCTTAGGAGCAACCTCTGTCCAAGTTTGTGCAAAACAAGCCCTAATGCTGATGAAGGAATTCCAGGAATTTCCTCTTTCTTTGCTAGTGCTTGAAGAGTCAGCCTGGAAAGGAGGGGGAGGGCAGCCTGGGGCAGGGGTGATCCAACCTCTTAGTCTAAGGCTGCAGATAGCCCAGATTGCTTTGATTGTTTTTGGTATTTGAAATCTGTCTAGGAAGGTCTGATCAGCAGCAACTTTACAAGAAGAGGATGTTAAGTGAGTACTGCTAGTACAGAGAAGTGTGAAGCTATGTGGTTGATTTTCAGCATCGGTGATGCCCTCTGTCATGGCTGCAGTAAAGAGAAAAGTATTTCTGGTATAATATCAGAAATTATCAGTGTGTGATTGCTTCTTTAACTTTCTTACCTAGCCCTTTAGGCATAGATAACAACTGAAGGCCCTTGGTTTTGTGTCAGCCACCCTTAGAGGGCTGTGCTACGTAAGTGAGGTTTGCAAGCCCTTAAGAACATTTCTCAGCTTACTGAAGGGTGTTAGTCCAAAACGATGATGTTTTCTCAGTCAGTGTAATGCAAGCTATCAGCTTGCACTGCAAACACTGCTTCACTAACAATCTTTAGACCATCAAACTACAGAACACCTCTCTTGCAAATCTCTAACTAACTCTGGCCTGGAACAACCCTCTGAGCATGGTTTCCAGGGGTGTCATGGAATGGTACCAGGTAACCTGTAATTTGGCTGTTCTCCAGCTCCCCACCCTCCTCATCCTCCCCTGTTAGCCCCTCAGCCAGGCCTCTCTCTCTGGGTTGCTCTAGGCCATGGGTTGTGGAGCCAACACACACAAAGTGTGACAAAACACTGGCCGTGTCCAATGGCTTGCAGAGTTTTGCTGGAGGAGATATTGGATGGAGGTGACACTAGCAGAGGGCATGAATAGGTGGCTAGAGTGGGACATGCTGAAATCAGCACTGCTGCCAGTGGCACCATCAAACAAGGCATTTGGTGGAGCTAGACACTGCATTTCCTTGGTGGAAAACTTGTAGATATTACTTTCTCATGGGTGCTTGTTCCTCCTTGCCCCACCTTTCCCCACTTGCTCTGTGTGTCAAGGAAATGATTTGGGAATGAAACAACAATCTATTTATTTTGTTTGTTAGCACAACAGCAACAGATTAACTGATCGCACAACCAGTCTCCTGGGGCAAGGGAAATTTGAGTCAGCCCAGTCCAAAAAGTTTAGGAACATCTGAGCTTGCCCCATCAGACCATAGGAGGTATCTGGCTTAAAATCAGCTGTCTGCTCCAGAGGCACCGTGGGTGAGAACTCTTTCTCTTGCCCTTAACCAAGTATTTCAAGTCCAACTGCTGTTTACCTCAGTTCTATCCTCCAGTGATTATGAACTGTTTTGCAAGACCAGAGATCAGAAAGTGAGTAAAACCCTTTTTTTTTTTTTTTTCTTAGAGATAGGATAAGAGGAACTATCCAAAAAGCTTAGGGGTATGTTTGTACTGTTTGAAAACCCTGACATATAGAGACTCTGCATAAACACTCATTATAAGTACCTAAAGAGACTGAACTACATAATCCTTTCTAAAACCTGATGCTGAAAGCCACTGTAAGTACAACTTTTGAAGGGTTTATAGCAGGACCCTGAGCTTTGCAATTTCTGGCATGCAGAATACAAAACTCAATTCTGGAACAATGCTGCTGTTTGCTGCTTCTTTAGGCAGAAGCACTGGTTTCCTTTTTTCTTCTTCTTTCTTAAAACATGTGTGGTAGGCTGGCCCTGCTGGACACCAGGTGCCCACCAAAGCTCCTCTGTCACTCCCATCCTCAGCTGGACATGGGAGAGAAAAATTCATTAAAAGCTTTGTGGATCAAGAGAAGGACAGGGAGAGATCACCAATTACCATCACTATTTGTCCCCCTGCTTCAAACAGTAATAAAAGGAGTGGGGTTGCAGCAACAAGAAATGGAAGATGGAACAAGCCATGATGGGTTTATGAACCTTGTGGCTGCCTGTAGAGTCCGTCATTTCCTCTGATTTGATGGGAAGCTTGGATGTTGATACACATGAATGAGTTGAGCATTTGTATAGGGAAGTCAATGTGGACATACAATGGCTGAAACATCTGGGCTTTAGTTAGTGCATCTTTAGCCTCAGCATAAATAAATATAAATATAAATATAAATATAAATATAAATATAAATATAAATATAAATATAAATATAAATATAAATATAAATATAAATATAAATATAAATAAATATAAATACTGCCTGGAATTACAGAGGAGTTTGCATGTAAGACTGATCTGTACTAAAGCTGCAGTTAATTCTATATTTAATCCTATGCTTTTTTGGTGACTGCCAGAAGAAAATACAGTAATTCTCTTGCAAACACATATGATACATATGCAGAGAGAGGAAGAAAGAGAGAGATTTTGTACTGGCAGTCTCAAGACTGCCACAAGAACAAGAAGACTTCAGCCCTTATGGGTAAAGAATTCCCCAATTAGAAAGGTAAATATATCCTAATGCACATGCATTCTTTGCAATACATAAAATATGCCAACTAATAGTGAATATACATTACAGTAAATAAAAGCTACATGACTGTTTTTCTTAATGCAGTAAAATTGTCATGCCCATATGGAGTACCTCTCATGCTGAAAAGGACTATAAAATCAAAGGACCAAAGGATCAAAATCACAAAAGGATGGGATGGCTTCATTAATGATGAAATAAGGCAAATGCCTTGCTTATCTGTAGAACTGCTGTCCTGTAGACTAACACAGACATTAACCATGGCACATAATGGGAGGAAGCACAAACTCTGACCTGGACTGTGACAGAAACATCTCTGATTGCCTTTGACACAACATAAACTTAGAGCAAATTTATTTTGCCCTAATGTGAGGCTGTGTAGACTGACTGACTACAACTTTGGGGCAACAAAAGGGTTAGTTAGCAGCTAGAGGAGGTGTCTCTGGAGATGTAAAGAAGATGCAGGAGGAAAAAGAGTAATTTGTTGGGTTTTTTTTTTTTTTACATAGTATATTTACTTAATGAATGTTCACAGTCTTTCACGGCTTTCTTCTAAATAGAGAGAGAATCTATGGTCAGGCAAATAGCAGAGATCTCTTCTATTTGATTTCTTTGCAGATCTTTGACATACTGAGTTTTACTTGTCGGAGTTGTGCTCCTAATCATCCTCTGTTTCCCAGAGTCAAACTTTCAGGGGTAAAGCATTGCCAGCACAGCATCTGAGCCAAGGAATCCTTGTAATCTGTATTTGCTATAGTGTCATGGCCATCAATGAGAGAATATTCTGTGATGTTTTCCAGTTCAAGACTAGGATGAGATCCTGGTAGAGGCTATCCCTGTTGTCTTTTGGACAAAGTAATGTACAAATAGTATGTGCCTATGCTGGTGGAACTTGGTTAACAAATGATTTGGAGCCTTCCTTGTTGTGCCACTCAAGTGCAAAATTTGCTCTGCATCAATTAATACCCAAGCCCAATCAATCTCAGTTAATTACAGCTCAGCTGTTGTGGGAACTCATCATTGCTTCACTGGCTGAACACCCCATAAGCGCAGAAACAGTTCAGGAATATCTTGCCTGGGTACTTTAACCTGGCCATTGGTAGCCATGGACATTGTCCCATCTACATTTTTAAATATGCTTGGGATCTGATCATATTTAGGATACAGGTGAATGCAACTGGTTTTATTGCTGGACACGAGAGGATTTGAATCAAGTTTGTTAATATATCAAAGTTAAATTTTCTGCCCACATTTGCAAGAAGGGAAAAGAACAATCCATCATCTTTGGCAGGTGTGACACACACGGGGCTGCAAAAGTTGTATCCTGAATGTCTCATGCTTGGCACACTGCCACCGAAGGAGGACAGGGGACTCATGTTGTCTCTTTCTGCACTGGAGACCTTTCTTAGGGTGGTTTGCATCCACCTAACTCCTAACATCAGACTTGATCACGCTGGACTCCCTCTCTAGTCTGCAGACTGACCTGTGTGTTCAATGCAGATGCTGAGTGCATTGTAAAGGGAATTCTGCATTTGATCAAATGTGTTTCTCCTCCCTTCTGAGTGTAAAAGAAGCAAACAGTGACTATCTTAAACATGCATGAATCTGGAGTTAAGCATGATGCATCCCACTCTGGCCCCTTTCTGGCTTCTGCCCTGGTGAAGTGGTCTGGGGAATGCACTGATCACTCGTCCTTCCTTCCTTTCCAGGCCCAAGGGTAGCATGGGAAACAAAGCCTTGTCCCATGACAGCGTCTTCATTTTTGAGTCTGCACCAGGAAATGTGACAGGTGACATCTTGTCTCAGGAAAACATACCTGGAAGAGTGAAAACTTTGCAGGTGAGAACATCATCCCTTCATCAGTAGTGCTGCTTTTTGTCAGCTGTCTCCCAGGAAAGTCTGTCACTTGATTCCTTTGCAGTGTGCCTTAGGATTTTGCTGAATGAAGTGTCCAAAGCCAAATTTGCTACTTTTGGATCTATTCTGCCTCTGAACTCTTGGAAACTTTCCTTGTTAAGTGTGTCCTCTTCTAATGGGATTTATATTCTTCACTTCATAGCTACTGCTTTTGGTTTAAGGCCATTCTTGTACACTGCAGTGTGTCCCTTACACTGTTACTCTTTAAATATTATTTGTGTCACTCTTTCTGGCAGTTCTGGCTCAGATGTTTTCACTATACATGGTAGTACCATTGGCTGTGTAAGTGTGTGGGATGATGGATATGTCAGGATACTCTGACAGCTTTATTTATATAATTATTCTTTTGATCTCTGCCAGCAAAAGATACTGCATTCTGCTGGGTCATTTCCTTCTTCCAAGGCAGTACTGAACCCTCCTTGACAGCTCCCTTGTGGACTGTTGATTATATTAATTGCGTTTCACTAACTTCCCAGCTTGGAACACTCAGATAAAAGTTTAAGGTTTTTCCAGAGACTGAATACAAATGGTTGATAAAGGAGCCAAAGGTCATTGAAATTCTTCCTTTGCTCAGTGTCAGCTTCATGTTGCAAAAGACAATTGAGTCACATGTTAAGTAATAGAAGATGCACAGAGGGACTTGTTCCTCTCTAAGACTGCAAAATAAGCGAAGCTGTTTTTTGTACAGAAGAAATCACATCCATATATTACTGAACATTATGGAGGGGGAAAAGCTCTTTTCATGCTGTTTGCAGTCCACTGTGCCCTCTCCTCATCCATCATCCTGCATAGTAATGTAATACTACCAGCATTACTTTTGTAGCTGTAACAGACAGGCTTTTTCTGTGAGCTTGACTCTCGTCAGAATAAAAGCCAAGCACTAATAAAAGCAGTTACTTTCTTAGCAATGTAAATTAACTTCTACCAGTAGACGACAGAATGCAAATTCACTTTCCTCAATACCACTTCTTTGTCTAATATGCCATGTCTTTGCATGTAATAAATTTAATAAATCTAAGACAGGTAGTTGTGAAGACACCAAAGCAAAATAGACTTTCTGTCTTCTCCTTCCCATTAAGTGCTTATATTGTATGTTTGCACTTATGTTGCCCATGTATCACAGTATTGCAGTATATTGCCCATAAGTTGCAAAAGAAAGGTGTTTGAACTGGTGTTCTAGACATTGTGCTACCCTGTGTGGCAGCTAGATCTATAGGAATTTTATTGCGAATTAATATTTCTGAATAAGAATTGCAACTATTTAGGTTTATTTTACAGAGGTGTAAATAAATGCATAGATTGCAGGAAAACACAAAACTAATACCCAATATGGTTTAATAAGCAAAGAAACAGAAAAAATAAATCTGCATGTTTATCTTGGGAATATTCTGTTGAGATGTTTTCAGTTGAAGGACAAAGTTTGTGTTCAGACCTTGTTTCTGTTCCAGCTTTGCCACAGCTGAAAGACTTAAGCCAAGAATTTTAGTAATGGTGTTTCCTGAGATCTGAACATTTTAGTTTGAGGGAACATCTGGCTGATTGTGAATTTGCAGACTTTGTTGTATTTTTCAGGGTCAGGGCCAGAGCATTCTTTTGTTCAGTCCTGGAAAGGAATCCCCATTCTCCTTTACAAAGTTGTTCCTGGCTGCTGTTACCATTCTTACTGTAGACACAACCCAGATGTGATGATGGGGAAAATTACCAAGCAATTCATTAGGGTGGGCCAGAAATGAAATTAATTTGGTATTGTATAAAAATCGTGACTCAGGTACTTGTGTGGGAGAGGATTGTAACAAGCTCTTAAATTTGGAAGGGCTTTGTGAGGGAAAGGTGACTATGGGATTGGGAATACTGGCTGGCAATAAATACTTTGTGTGACTAAATATTTAAATTTATGTGACTAAAGAATTAAATCTAGAATTTTGGAAGTTTTAATTTAAATGGAGTTAAACTGTAGTAAGTTTTCTGGAATGCTGAAATTTCTGACTTCTTTTGGTAAATTACTGAATAAAACTGATTTTGATTTTAAGTTTATACCAACACCAGTTTTAATGACGAGTCCTTGATGAATGTAGCTGGATAAAATTTTATTAATGGCTGTTTTCTATAAATAGTCTGCTACTTCAAGTTTTTCTGTTAACTAAAGGATTCTGCATATCTAATAGGAGCATCTGGGTTACAAGGTCCAGAACAACTCATTTAAATTGTACCATTGAAAGTTTATATTCTATATTTCAACCACAGCTTCAGCTGCAGCAGAACATCAGGCTTGGATCACATCCTCTTGTTATAACTGGGAAAAAGCTGGAAGATGCAGGTGCTGTTTCTGAAGATGATGGTTTACCTAGAAGTCCTCCTGAAATTTCAACCCTTCATGAAGTTCTGACAGATTCACCAAACAAGGTATAATTGTCATGTCACCTTGGTGAACATCTGTACAGAAAAGATGAAATCTGCCTAGAGAAGGGGAAGACCTTTTTGTTTGCTTGTGATAAAACATGATGTTTTATCAGTTAGATCAGTTAGAACCAGAAGAAATTATCTAGATGGATTGTGGACTTTTCACTCCGAGGTATACCTAGAAATTGACCCTACAAATACCCTTTGTGGGTACAATTTTCCATGCTTTTATGTAGACCAGGACTTTCACCTCTATCATTAGCAAATGCAGGATTTTAGACATCAGTGAACTTCTGAGAATTTGTAAATCTGATTATTTTAAAACAATAACCAAAAAGAACCTTATAAAATATACTGCCTCCTGTGGTCAACCTTCCTGGTGTATCTCAATGCAGAAGAAATCTCCCCTACTTTATGTTTGATGCCAATGAAGAGGTTAAACCTACAGTGTAAGGCAGGGACCCAGTGACCCTTCCTTTATTTTTCCTCTTGTGTTTTCTCATAATTAGCACTGGATACCCAGCTCAAGATAATTCAGTGTGATACTTCCCTTGACTTACCCTCTTCGTCATTTTGTCCCACAGTCCTCCAACCCTGTTCAGCGTCATAGCTCTTTGAGTTTAGGCGGGACAGACAGTGAAGATGAACAGGTAAATAGCTCCTTTTCCTGCTAATATACTTCTTTGAGATGGCATATGTGGAGTCTATATGGAGCCAGTACAGTAATTTTGTTTTTTAAAATTTGTTCTGGGTATGGTGTATCCTAGGAAACAATTCTTTTGAGAGTCCAGAGTGAGGCAAATGATACTTAAAATGTACTTCTCTGGGTTTTGAATAAGAAATAAAGACAGGCAGAAATCTACTGGTAAGTGGTTTGTATGAACAGCACAGAGGCAGCTCTGTGACACAATATGAAGCTATAAAGTTACACAAAAAATTGGACCAGGCAATGTGCTTCAATTCTGCTTCCATGTCCCAGGGCCCCCCTACCAAATAATCACACTTTCCCACCAGCAGTGGCTTGTGAGCAATGCCCTCCATCTCTCTTATCATGGGAAATGATTGCAGGACCACCCTTTCCTGATGCCAGGTATTCCACAGGAAAGGGTGTATTTTCATTTGAAATTTTCTTTGGATGATAAACGACCTTGAGAAGCAGCATGTTCTGCTCTCAGAACAACACTGTCCTTGACCAGATTGGAAAAATTTGAAGAGGTCATATTTTTTTTGATGTACCTTGACAGTTTTTCTAGATGGGAAGATGTTTTCATGATCTTCAAAATTTCATCAGCATACATGTTTGAAATGCTGTGTTACAGCCTAAGTTTAAATAAAACTAAATTGTGAATGCAGGCACAGTGCAATGGCCGTGTCACCCAGCTTTATGAATGAAACTTCTTTGGCACATCAGGGACATTTTGCAAGTGTTCCAGAAAGTTTGGTCTGCGTTTCAAAACAGTAGCAAAACTACTCAAACTTCACATTTAGGCGTTTTTCTACAAACATTTCTGTAAACCCTTTATTTTGATAGCACAGTCTAAGGTTACTGCTGCTCAGTTCCCCAGAGCAGCTTTGCTATGAGGATGAGATCCACATCACTCTCTGGAAGGTGCTTCTGATGTAGTGGGAAGTGTTTGATTTTCCTGAAAATATTGAAAGAGAAAAGTGGCTTTGGCAGCTTTCTTAGACATAATGAGGAGCAAGCATCCGTGCTACTTCTGTGGCTTTTTAATAATGTATTTCTGCCGTGGGTCACGTTACGGGATGAAAAGGCAGCTTTACAAACAGCAGCAGTGTCTCCTGCCGGTGTGTGCACATATTGCAAACGGGTTTGCAGGGAACAGCTGGGGTGGGGACAAGCTGAGGCTCTCACTGCAGCACAGACAGGTATTTCTCCTTCTGTGTTATGTACAGATGGACACACAGAATGGAGTAATTGCTCTGCAGAGATGACTTTAGACATGCATTTTAGAATGAGGATTTATGTCCAAAATTATAGCCATTTCAAGCTTCTGAAATGGAATGAGCTAACAAAGGAAATGTTCCAGAGATCTGGAGTAGTAAAGCAAAATATATACAACATTGTATTTCTGTTTTACAGATACCTTCTGGAGCTTCCTCCAGGCCCATCAGTCCTTCATCCTCCACCACTCAGGGGACCCCCATCTCACGAGGCAGCAGCTTTCTTCCTGTTGATTTTACCATCCCTGCCAGTCCCCTTGGCTGCCTGGACACCTCAGCAGCCAGGCACAGGATTGCCATCAACCCTCGGAAACAGAAAGGTTTCACCAACAAGCATCAGCTACCTCTCCAGGTAGGTGTTTTCTGGAAAAGAACCACTGAGCAGAAGGAAATGAGTGTGAGTTTTTAATTATTTTAAATATTTACATTTCTTTTTTCTTTCCTATCCATGCTCCTTTACTTTTTCCATTGGGAGAAGGGAAAACACCTCTTTTGCACCAGCCAACCAACCAACCAAAAAAGTCTCTGAAAACTTCAATACCATGGAAGCTGAAGAAAAGTGCAATTTTTGGTTTTTATTATTTAGCCAAAATTTGTGGGTTATGCTTCATCTGTAAAAACACTTCTGGTGTTTAAAAAGCTAAATGCCAGTTTTAAAGAGGCCTAAGTGTATTTTTACAAATCTTGTTCTTAACTGGAGCAGTACATTACCCACAGTGCTGGTTAATTACAGGATGGAGGTTTTGTGTCTATGATTTGAGTATTGATAGAAATGCATGTGTATAAAGTACATTTTTGTGAATGATTCTTTAATTAAGGCATCTTCACTTCTTTATGTGGAACAGCTGGAAAATGAAGCATGTCTTCCTGCAACTCCAGAAAGGAAGGGAAATTCAGCAGAATTACTTGAGAGTGACAAACATGAAAGCGATTGGGAAGGTAATGAAGACATAGGTATTGCTACTTTGGGTGCTTGAACTCTTCTGCATAACACTGACAGGACATGTTTGAATTGTAAGTCCTTTCAAACTAGTCATCTTTTGCTGCTATAACATAAAACCAATCCTGGCTGCTAAATTGTTGTGATGGAAAAAGTTGAGTACACTCAGCAAAGTGATGCTGAAGTGATGAACTTTGAGGGCAGCATTAAAAAACACATGAGGTGAAAGCACCATGTTCAGAAGCACAGCTGGCTGGACCTCAATGAATGTGAAACTGAATTCCTCAGAAAAACCTAAATCTCGCATTATATGTTGTGTGTGTTGGGTGACTTTGATTGGCTTCTGTTTACTGGGTCCTCCTTTGCCACTCACCCTGGGAAAATTTTCCCTATCATTGTAGATGGCTTTTATAGGCACACACATGCAGAATAGGAAAATCTGGCTAGTAGTCTTACAGCTATGGGTATGCACAGGAAACAGCTAAACAGCAGCTAAAGTGGTACACTGAAACAGACAGCAACTTTCAGTCATTTTCTGTATTAGGTATGTTCAAACTAAAACCTAATGAGTCCCTCACTTAGCCCATTTCTAAATAGGCTCTGAACAGGCTTATTTATCAGTTAGCAGTAGCCAGACATGGGACATTCTTGTTAAAGGACTGCATAATCTGGAATGCATACAGATGGTGTCTGAATTGTAACCTTTAAGTACACACTCTTTTCCTCTGTTTAATATAGGATTATCAGCCCAGGTGGGACACTGTGCAAAGAGAGGTGGTTTTAAGCAGATGCCAGGTGTAAGAACTCTCACTGATGCTGTCCCTGACTCTCGTGATGCCACACCTGGGGTAGAAGACCCCTGTGCTTTGCTGCAAGAGGATGGGTGCCTTCCTAGTGTGGACTATCGCTATAAAGGAGCCAGACCCCTTCTTAGGCCTGAGGCTTCTCCAGTAAACCTGGAAGAACCCCACAGTGCAAAAGTGTTGTGTTCTGCAAATGAGTCTGCTAATGAATCAAAAGTACAGCTGCAAAGTACCAGTCCTGAGGTACCTGCACTTCCAGAACTGCAACAACTTGAAGGAGGAGCTGTTGTGTCCCCAGACACACCAGCAGCTGACTTGTTTAGCAGTGGTGTGGAAACAGTGGGCATGGACATACTGCCAGATGTTTCACAAAGTTCCTCAGTGAATTCTGTGGATCCAAACAGTAAAGCCCAGGAAGAGGGGGATCCACTGTTTACTGGCAAAGAAGAACTCTGCTTTGGTACTACTGGGAATCATTCCAACCATGCTGTCTCAGATACTGCACTGGGCACTCCACAAGTTGCAGTAGCTGATTCAGAGTCTTGCTCTGACTTCAAGACAGTGGCTGTTTCGAGGTCTGAAAAGAGTTCAGTAGCAAAAAATGACAAAGAAACATGTGAAATTATGAAATTTCGGTTATCCAAGGACAGTGTAGGAAAAAAAATAGACACTGCTGCACCTGTCTCAGAAGCAGTTTGTGTGGTACCTTGCAGTAAATTGGAAGTATGTTTTAAAGAAGATATTGTTCCTGTTTCAAAGGGTAACCAAGGCAATCAACAGGCCAATGCATCATACATTTCTGAAAAGCTTTCTGTTGGCTGTCTTGCCTCCTCAAGTTTAGCTGGAGTGAAGAGTAATATATATTCTGGTGCTGACAGTAAGGAGTACCAGATAAGCAGTACAGTTTCTGACAGAAAAACAGGAGAAGCCAATCAATCATCAGATGAAAATGTAAAAAGTCCCCTGAAGACTGCTTCTGCTAAACCAGTCAGATTTACCATTGCACCAGCATGGCAAAGGTCTCTCTCAGGAGGTTCAAATTCAAAGGAAGATTCCTATTCCAGAAGTTCTCCAACATCCCCTATAAGACCCGAGTTCTTTGAAGGAATGACAAAAGAACATACATGTTTTGATGCAGTTACTCAGGAATCAGCAAAAACCAACACAGACAGATTTGATCGAGATTGTAAGGACAGAGATCTGCATTTGAATTCTTTTATGGAATGGGCTGACCATAAAACACAGAACTTTGAGAATCCATTTGGGGTCAGACTAAGAAGAACATCATCTTTACTAAAATACCAGAATGAAGGCCGTGTAGAGCCTCCAAAGCTGATCCCCTCAGCCGTTCCAATTGCTTCTTCTGCTTCAGTCAGAGAGGATCAGAAATTGATGGGCACTGGGAAGCCACCTCCAAGCCTTCCTGGCAACACAAAATCTGTTGTTAAAAAAACAGATCTCCTAGAAGACAAAAATCCTGCCAAGGCAAGATCAGAAGAAGTGGCAAAGAAGCAAAATGGTTATAAACCTTCAGGTATTTATGCTGTATTTGTATCCAAACATTGTAGAAAACAGTGGTCATGAAAACGGCCTTGGCAGAGTGGCACAAAGAGAAGAAAATCCTCTTGGCTAAGAACCAAATCCAGCTTTGAGTTCATCACCACTATAACTTAATTGGCTTGATGGTTTGGCCAGTCAAGAGAATTCTTGTCTTATCTTAATGAAGGGTGTGTTCCAGCAAGAATAACAACAGAATAATAGTTTACATGCCTCTGAAACATTTCTGGTACAAGGTATTTGTACATATAGTTGGAGTTCTAACACAGCTTTTTAAAAGGTGCTGCAGTTTTGTACTTAAAAATTCAGACTGTAGCTGCTCAGACCTTAACTAGGAGTTGCATTAGGTGTGATTATTTTTTTCCTAACAATGATTTAATTTAAAGTATTTTAAAAGTGACAAGGAGGTCTGTATTTTACTGCCTACATGAAAAAAAAAATCATTATTGTAGTACTCATTTAATCTGCAATGGAAAAATGTTGTTTCAAAGGCAAAATCCAGTCCACAATGATCTCAGTGGGACATCTGCCATTGACTTAGACAGAAGTACAGTTGGGTCAAAAACTCCAGAATAAACAGAAAGAACAGTTAATGCCAAGGACAAAATCATCAGGGAAGGTAATTTTATCTCCACCATGTTCAAAGAGAATTATAGATGTTGAAGGATTTAAAATGTGAAGCACTAGCTTTAGGCTGACTTGACCTAAATCCCTTCTTTACTTCAGAAATGCTTCTTTTCGTAGAAAAAGTCTCTACATATTTGGAAACTGCTTCCTCTGAACCAGCTTGGGTCTCCATGGCAAAGCTAAAACAGAAGGGTTTCCAGGACCATCCTCTTGCCAAAGAACATAAAGATGAAGACAAAGCTTTGACCAAAGTGGATCAAGGGGAGGTAGAGTACCAAGTAATGTTGCATGGGTGTGAATCCTGCCCCAGGTCACCTGGGTACTTTTGCAAACTGTTCAATATTGTCTTCATGGGAGGTGTGTTGTGAGCACTACTCAAAGAGAGCTTTGCTGGCCTGGCCTCTAAAACACTGAGACTTATGCAAGTGAGCAAATGCCTGTGACTACACTGTCACAGGGATTAGTTTCAGAACTGGATCATCCTATATCTTCCTTTGCACTGCTCAAACCTGAGCATTTTCAGAGCTTTCTTATTGCCCAGAGCAAATTTACGTAGCTGCTTTGAGTTGCATTAACTTCCTCACTGCCTTCTCCCTCCCTCCTACAGGATGCTCCCAACCATCCTTGCCTGGCTTTTGCTGCATTTCCACAGCCAGGTTTGAGAGGTTGCCAGGGTGAGCTTTATGAGTGCCCATGGCTGGCAGTCAGTTGCATTTTTTCCTTCTCTTCTTATGCTGCAGCAAGAGATCTGTGCTAGTGAGAACACACCGAAGAAGAATATGCATTCCAGCTCTCAGGACAAGAAAACACAAATGAAGACCAGTGTGTCTGCAGCAGGTATTCTTTTTCTTTACATACTGGCTACAGTTTGCACCAGTAAGTGGTGTGGGTGGCAGGTGATGGGGGAAGAGAGACACCATTTTTATAATCAGCACACTTTATATAAGGCCTATTCAGACTGTGATTTTTGTATAAGTCAACATAATGGCTTGTTTGGTCAGCAGAGAAAGCAAGTGAGGAACTCTTATCTCCACTGCCAGTTCATGAAATGGCATATAAACAGTCTGGTGATTTATTATTGGCCAAGATGAGTACTAAAGAATAGTAGTTGAAGTTGGAGAGTGTCCAGAAAAGAGCAGCAAAAAAGGTCAGGTCTCCTAGATCTCCAGTCAGCCAGGAAATAGATAGGAGTGGAGTTGTTTAGTCTAGGAAAGAGTGCTAAATTTTCTGCAGACAACAAGACTAGTCTTTATGGCCAGCATGAACTTAAAATGCACCAGGGGATGTTTAGCTTAGATGTTAGGAAATACTTTCTAACAATAAGAGCAGTGAGGTGCAGAAGAGCGTGGCTTGCATATGGAGAGTGTGCAGTTTCTATGGCCGGATGTGTTGAACAGATAAACATGTATCAATAATAATTTAGGTAGAGTCAGTTTCACCCTCAGGTGAACACAGAAGCTGGATGGCCCCTCTCCTGAGCACTTAGCTGTGTTTCTCTATATTAAAGATGCAGGGGAAATGTGTGACTCACTTGGTGACTCACATTACCTCTTCCAAGGCTTCTGCTGGGCTGCAGCTTCTCCCTCCCTGCTTACTCAGTGTGGTGCCAAACCTCAGAGCCACGCTCCAGATAGATACAGATAAGCCAGTCCTTCAGCTATAAAAGCATCTTCTAGCTGAAAGCTATTGATTGCAGATACTGCCTAAGTAGATAAGAAATGCACCACTGTGTCAGACCTGTGGCTTTTCCATTGCAGATTCTATAGCTGGCACAGTAAGAGATGCTGTCTAGAGAGGCCTGGCCCCTTTCTTCCCCTGTGTAATCCAGCAGCACCCAGAGCTGTTGTACTAGAGATACTTGAGAGCACCTCTGTGCTGCTCCCTGTAGTAGTTATTTCTAGAGCTGTTAACCATTTCTGAATCTACAGCTTTCTCCCTTACTACAGTAAGTGACTGGCTCAGGATGTTTACACCAACACAGAGGCTCTGATGTCAGTTGCAGCTAATTTTGTGTGTGTGTATGTGTGATTAAAATACCATAACTTTTAAAGAGGATTCTGTTACAGGCCAGCCTTGTCTTATGGTTTTAGGTGCAAAATGAGAGATGAAATATAAACAGGCCAAGATTTTTGCTCAGATGAGATCTTCCTTTGAAAGGCTGGTTTTCTGGATTTCTATTCATTGCATTATCCTAGCCTCGGAAGCCCAGCAGCCTTTGGTCAAAATTCAGAACTTTACAAGTTGCTCTGCTACTCGTTTATTAGAATTTGCAGTCTTTGTGGTGCTTACAGCAGAATTACAAGTTTTTGTGTGCTACCTCTTCCCCAGAACTGGCCTAGTTTCCTGACATCCAGTGACTGTTTCCTCTCCTCCAGAGGTAGCATTTATAGGCATATTCTGGTGTTCCGTGACTTGAACATCACAAAAAGCTCTGACTAGTGCTGATGTTTAAGGAAAGCTTTCTGCTGCTCAGAAAGCCAGGTCCTATTGTTTAGGAAATGGTCAGCACTGTCAACATGAATAGGAAATTTGGAATCCCAGATGTAAACTCTTCTCTTCTCTGATTTGGTTCCCATTAGCCCAACCAGGACTTTGTCTAGTTGAAAATGCTGCTGGTGGAAAGGATGTAGAATTAGTATCCAGAGGAGTTATTTATTTGGACTGTTGTGCTTATGAAGAAGGTTGTCTCCCAAAATGTGGAAATAAATTTTCAAAATCAAAATTTTAGTAACAGTTGAATTCCTACCTCACCTTAGATACTTCTGAAAATTTCTTGTGTATGTAGAGCTTCATCCTTTTTAAGGGACAGAATACTTCCTCCAGTATTCTTAAGTACAGTTTGCCTCCTGCAAGAACTACCAACCAGCCAGAACTTTTAAAAGATCAGAGACCTCCTGAGTGAAAATAAGGATCTACTTTAGCTCTGCTCATGGAGTGTGACTAATGGAACTGATGAGTATTTTCCATTGATTTCAGCTCATGCAAGGTCAAGTTTCTTGCACTTAATGTGACTTAGACATTAATTTAAAAAGGTTTCAAATAAAGTGAATGAAGCAGGCCTTTTCTAAATAGGAACTCAAAGCCACCAGAGAAGCATTATCTGTATTCCTGCATCCTCTGTGAGTATGACAGGTGTCTGTTAGGCTGCATCAAGAGGAACACCTAGTACCATCAGAATCCCACCAGCATAACTTACAGGTGAAAGTACATAAAGCAGTGGTTTGATTCCTACCTAATATTTAATAATATTGCTGGAGCAATAGTTGTGTTGGCAGTGAAGACTAAAAAAAATCTTTAAGTCTTCTCAGTATTGGAAAACATAAACTTTTAACTCCACAGCAAGCCTGGGGTAATCCTTATCCTGCAGCTATTTTGTTTCTGTTTTCCTGCATGCTCAGGAGTCTTATTCCTAGATTTTCTTGCTCTCACAGAGCCAGAATTAGTCTGTGGAACTCCTTGCTGTGCACTTTAATAGAAACCAAGAGGTTGAAAAATTAAGATATTAATTAACCAAGAATATGAATTAGACAAATAACTGGGGCTATAGTCTTCACGTGCAGCATTTTGAAAGATTTCCTTCATTTATCTGGGCTTAAACACTTGCTGTTTGCACTGAGGAGAAGATTTTTTTATGGTCACATTACTCACTGTTTTGTATCAATTTTCCTGTTGCAATAGCTAGTCCTCACCATTGCTGTAGCTGGACCAGAGAGTGCCAGCAATATCCAATTAACAATTCCTTTGACTTACTGGTGAATCACAAGCACTTTGGGCTGTAAAACCGTTTCTTTTGAGAGAAGAAAATACTATTGACATAAATTGGGTTTTTAACTCTCTAGACTTCTGGTGATGTATATCTTCTCATGGGCAGGTAAAGTTGGACCAATTTCTCAGGAAGCATCTGTGGTTCCTGCTGTTGAAAAGGAAGCAAGGCACTCCTCTAAACTGCCAGTGACACCCTGCAGTCCTGCTGAACCACCCTGGCTGTCCCTGGCCAAGAAGAAAGCCAAAGCATGGAGTGAAATGCCCCAGATCGTACAATAGCAAATGACATGAGCATCCTTCTTTGCATTGCCAATAGCTGTGTTAACTCCATTTAATCCCTTCTTTACTGTGACCATTTCTGTTCTTTTGAGAAATAAGAGCCTTAAAACTTTTGATCAGACTGTTGTATGTAAAAGACATAATGAAGAAATGCCATTGTGGGCTTAATCTGATGTATTAAGAAGCTGAGCATTTCCTACTACCAAACACTAGGAAAATTTGATTAATTTCTATATGCTTACACATCTGATGATGATGTTCTAAGAAGACAGGCTTTTGAAGCATTTCTCTAGCAAAATACGTTTTAAAAATTTCTTTTAAAGAAACTTGTTCTTTTAAAAAGACCATACAGTATTTTTGTACAGTTTGGCTTTGAGCTAAGAAATAACTTATGCTTTAAAATAGATACAATGCTGGGCAGCAATGCACCATGAGTCATGGACATTGATGTCATCACACTTCTTAGTGCTCTGTGATGGGCAGCCTGACTCTGCTTCAGATTGTTAATGGATCTGTTTTGTGATTGCTGTAAGATCTAAACTCATTGTGAGTGGAGTGATTCTGGCTTTTGTGTGATTTGAAGCCTCGGTGCTGCTCATCTTGTGCTTTGCTCACAGATACCCACTGGAATGGCCCAGAGCTGCACACACATTCTCTCCCATGCACTGGAAAACCACCACACTGTAGCATATTGTCTGCTTTCTGTTACACCTTTAGAAATCTGTGTAAACTAAACATTCTACTAAAAAATCCTTCCTTTCTTTAATTATGGCAAATAGTGATTTTTTTGGTGAGATTCCTCAGCCAATTGTCTCTCTTAAAGAGTGTGTTGGGGGGAGAACTTGCTCCTTAGAAAGGGGCATCTTGTTTTCAAGAAATGTCACTCTCCATGTTCATAAGGATGTATATTTAGTCAATTGTATCTAATGCTAATCATAAAAGGGGCATCTGCTTTCTTTCTTGTCTCATCAGTCTTTAACCATTAACTCAACATCCGTCTGACAATGTGCAGCTGGAGCAAAATTATTCTCTCAGGGCCTGGCCTTGCAGTCACTTAAACTCACAAAAGTTTTGCTATTGAACTTGAAGGATGCAGTAATTTGAAAAATAAGCTTTGTGAAATGATGTTGGTGGCTTAAAAGACAGTGGCACTTACTGGTCCTTCCAGTTCTTGCAGCATTGCACGTTTATATAGTTTTTGTTTACAGTCAGTGCAAAATTTGAAGGCTGGTGGACTGTTTTTAGCTGGAAAGTTGGCTGGAATTTTTAAAGGAAAATATTATCTATTGATAGAATTAAATGCAAAGAAAAAAAAAATAATTGTTTCAGGTCAGCTCAAGCAAGACTTTAATCTTCCAGTCTTGGCCTGAGTTTAATATGTAGCTTTTGCAATTTGAAAACAGTATTAACTAGGAGCTAGACTGTGATTATTAACTTTTTTTATATAGGTGAAAACTTACTTGCCCAGGAAGGCTCAGAATCTATAGATACTATTTATTCTGGACTAACACCAGAAAGAGTAGGAGCTTCACATTGGCGTGGTAATTGATGCCTATTTTGTAACTTGTTTTTTCTCTGCTTTAGGAAGCATATCTTTCCGTACAGAGAACTGAAAAATTTGTAATTCTCTGAAACTTTTGAGTGTAATGTAAAAGAATATACTCAACTTTGATTCCTGAAGTTTTGTACAGTTGTCATCCCACCACAAACTTACTGACCCTGTGTAAAATACAGGCCTTTCTATATTTAGCAAACTCTCTTCTCATTCTGTTAATGTGGATTGTGACTTTTCACCCAAAATACTGCAATGGATACTATAATCTCTCTTTCCCTGTGTTTCCTTTTGATCTTAATATTGTTCCTGTCTTTTATGTTCGGTATGTATATATGTTTTTGTAATCCTTATCTTGAAGGAACCCTTTTTGTATTCCATTCCCATATTTGGTTTACTATTAAATGTTGCCAGTGATGATGATATCATTTCTGGGAAAAGAAGAGGTATGGATGGTCCTCATTCATTAAGGAAGAAATAAAAATAGGTCTTTGGTCAATATTGACTCTATATATAGAGATAAACTGCATAGAATTTGTTTTGAGGTGATTTTGTGTGACTTAAGACTGATTGATACAGCTGGTAAGACTAAGGAGATTTTCTAAATCTGAGTTTAAAACATCACGAGAGAGCTGATGGCTCTCCTGTTGTTCTGGAGTTATTGCTCCTTCAGTGCAGGGCTGGTTTGAAAGCAGGCACTTGTGGTCATGGGAAGCCTTGAAAATACTTGTTTGCATGTGTTGAAAGAAGCTGCTCTAGAATATTTTTTGGAGTGCTTTACCAAAGAAGGAAAACACAAGAAAATAATGTGATGTATATTTGAAATCCGCTTGCATTCTGCATTTCTACAGTTAATGTTTCCATGTCTTTTGTGCAACTAAGAGAACAAACAGCAAAGAGAAAACATCGAAACTGAGTCTCATGTAATCATAGGAGGTTAAGAGATGGGATGATAAGATACATGTTGAAATATCAGTGATTTATTGTTGCATTTAGAGAAGCTGGTAACTCTATAAGTGTGGTTTTGATTTCTGGTCCTAGTGTAGTTTTTAGGTGTTCAATGAGTAAAAATAACTAATACAATAACCTCATTTTGGGTGATCCTTTCTAAACACAGTCACTGGTTTTGAAAATAAGTTGTGTTGAATTGCAGAGCTCGTTGCAGAGTGTCATTGTGAGGTTTTGTGGCTCAGAATCTGCAGTGGAGGATGTAGGAAGCCGAATTCCCTGTGCCTGGGAGTTGGCTCTGTGTGGCAGCAGAGGGTGCTGGTGCCATCCCTGAGCAGCAGGAGGAGAATTTCAGTGTATGTATGTGCAATGTTACAATGAGAGGAAAGCACTAAACAACGGCTTTCTCATGGAGAAGTTTGGGTAGAGAGAGCCCCCCTCATGTATTGTATTTTGTCTTTTTAAGGGCTGTTGTCTAAAATAAGAGATGTAATTTGTTTTGAAGTATTACAGTAGAAATTCTCAGCTCAGAAAAGCTGCAGTCCCTGAGTGTGTGCCACCTGCTCTCCTAAGTGCTTTTCAGATCAATACAGGAAAGATATTAGCCTGTGAGGGTACTTTGTCCTTTAGAACTGTTCCTGGAAGAGGATAGATCTGAAGGATACAGGTAATGAGAGATGTCCTTAGCAGCCTGATAAAAAAGGTAAACCTTTCTCTCCATCTTTTCCTCTAGTGTTTGTTAGCCTACCTACAATTTTGTTAGAGATTTATCTTGGTTATAAGATTTGACAAATTTGTCACATCAATCATCACCAAAATGTTCATAATGATGATGTGGAAAACTCTTGGGAAACTGAGCATCTCTTTAAGATTTTGACCTTGATTTGCTTGCTATAGTATAGAATTCTGATTCCTCTATGTTGTCAGGAAGTGTTGCACCCAAAGGATCAGTATTTGTTACAGGCTACAGCCTGGGGTAGTTCTTGGTGCAGAGGTTCACTGAAACCTCTGGTTTTCATTGAAAATGGCTTTATGTCTTTTATGGAAGTAGGCAGGTGAAATAAATTGTAAATTCTGGATTTGGAACACAAACCCATGCATCTGCCCAGAACAAAAAGGTTAGTCAGGTGTTTCCAGCTGGGTAGTTGAAGGGGCCTCGCTTGATGATGAGAGAAAATTCAGCTTGAGAAATGGAAGGCTCAGAGTGGGAAGCTACAATTCAAATCACTCTTCCATAGTGGGATGGGTCTAAGCCCAAGGAAGGGCACCAAAAGGGACCTTTAAATAGTGGCTTTTCCTGCATTTCTCTCTGCACATGAGGGATACCAGACCTCATTGCTTTGTACCATATTAAGTAGGTAAGCACCATGACTGCCCTGCAAATCAAAACCTCTTGTGATCTGCTGATCAAGTCCACAGCAGTGCAGCACTGTAAATGGAATTGCTGTATGATCTGTGCATTAAAAATGCAACTTCTCAGGAGTGAGCTGAGCCAAAGTTTAGCAGCTTCCTCTGACTTGAGGGGCAGATTATTAACTATGGAAAATGTGAGATGCTATTTTTATTCCTATTGTGCTAGGAGTGATTTTAAAAGAAGCTATTTTAATAGCTGTTTATTTTTTAGACGCAGTTCAAAGAAGAAGAATCTAGAGGCAGATTATCTAAACAGGATTATTAACTGTCAGGTCTTGGGCTGATCAGTAAACCAAGTTAAGTTGCTAAACAAGAGCAGGTGAAGTGCAGAGTAGTTAATTTATATAATTTCATATGATGTAGAAATAGAAAGTCAGAGGAAGAGATTGATTGACATAAATAACCTACATGGAAAAGGTTGTTTGGTACCTGGAAGCCTCATTCCAGCCTTTCTTCTCTCTGCCTTAGAATATATTGTTTCCCTCTAAGCATTCTTACTTTTCATTGGGGGATCAAACCAAATTTTTACTTAACCTGTTTTGGAGTCAGTCCTATTTTAGAGAATTTGGATGAAAAACACAAGATCACACACCTGTCAATAGTGGCAATCCTTATTCAAAGCTCACCCAAATCTACGTGGTTAAGCTAATACTTCATTGCATTTTCCCTATTATACCATTCTAACTCCATATTAGTTTTTATTTATAAGTATTTTTCCAACACAGAAGGGTGGGGTTATCTGCTTTAAAATAAGAGCCTTTCCACATTACTTAGGAATATATTTCTGTGGCATTGAGGTGACTTCTTCCAAGTTACACAATAAGTTCACTGTAACAACTGCAGCAGTTATGGGAAAAGGTTGAAGTCCTGTGTCTGTGTTGTGTTTCCATAGAGTTTAAATTCCATGCAGCAGCCTTCCCTAATGGTGTCACTGGGAGCTGACAGAGCAGGAGGGGATGGTGCTGGTTGGCTCCTCACGGGTGACACTCAGACTGTGCTAAATGTCTGCGTCACTGGTGACGTGGCCAAGGGGGTAAAGTGACAGAGCAGCACTGTAAAGTCACTGAGCAGCAGTGCAGGGGTGACTTGCACCCCAAAGGTGCAAATTCACCAGTTGTGCCTGTGGGATGGAAGAACTTCACTGGACTTTGTGAGCTGTAGAAATACATTTTATTCATACAGGAGTAAACAAAGTGACATTTCTGTCACAGCTAGATGTACAAATTAGGATATATCTACATTAAACTAGAGCTGTGTTTTAAGCACAAGAGGCATTTACTCAGTTTGAATCCTGAGTCATATATATTTCAAAGAGGAAGAATAAATATATGTTTTGCAGCATTTAATTTGTAAAGGGAGTTCTGCCCAAAATGGGTGACCTCATCTGTAATCACATGAAAAAAAATAAGAACAGAACCTCATTTTGTGGGGGTTTTTCTTCCACTTTGACAGAACGATTTATTACATAAGCATCCTTAGTGTTATGATCCCTGTGAAAAAATAACTGTCTTCTTATTTTGCATTGTTTATAAAATAAGAGCTGTGGCTGTGAGATGTACTACATATTGTGGTAGAATAATCACAAAATAATTGCATGCAAAATGCTACAAGAATCAATATCAGTTCTTATTTGCTATTTATGTAATAATTTCAGAGCATGACTTGCTACTAAAGCCCAAATTCTGCAAAGTACTCTATCATGGTTCATTGTGGGCTGAGGCTTGACTGACCCTGTGGGGCCTGTCCAAAGGTGGATTGCAGGTCTAGTCCTCCTCTTCACTGGACACACTGCAAATTGGATTAGGCCCTTTTTAAGAGATTTAAGTAAAGTGGAACAAAAGCTTTCAGAGAATTGCGTTACTTCTTTAATAGCAAACCATGTAATGCAAATTCAAATTATATAACTCAGGGATTGATATGGCACGGGCTGATGTGACAAAGTGTAATGTTGCAATCTAGGGTCCAACCATACTTGGATGGGGGAAAAGTTGGGTCTTACCACTTACTCCTGGGAATCCAAGGCTGGTAACCAGGCTGGTGAGGTTCTGGGGCTGTGCTCAGTCTAATGCCTCTAGGACATGTGTTTGCTTTAGACTTGCTGGGCATGAAGGTCTTCACTTATGTGCACTCCAAAATGTTTCTGAAGTGGTCAGAAGTTCTAAGCAAATGCATCTTCTCTAAAGCCACATTTGATAAGTCACCCCTGAGAATCCTGTAAATCCCAGTGAGGAATAGTAGCTGCAGCTCCATGCAGCTCCATGCAGCTCCATGCAGCTCCATGCAGCTCCATGCAGCTCCATGTGTGTTTGCATCCCTGCCCGGGGCACCCTGCATGCCTGGCTTTGCATTCAGACATCAGCTCCCTCCTGTCATACAGCAGAAGGGTTTGTGCAGAGTTTAGGGGCTCCCTTCAGAGAGCTGTGGCCAGTCCTTACCCAGCCAGGTGTGTTCCATGGCATGTTTGATTAATCTGGCTCAGAGGGTTTCCTACAGTGCAGCTCTCTTTATGGTGCACTGATTTGGCCCAGTGCGCTCAGTCTGCATCCAGCAACAGTCTCCTTTGCAACTTCACCAAAGTCCCTAGAATTGACAGGAATTGAATGAATGTAATTTGTTTATGTTGGTTTATATCTTATTCCATCCTTTTCTTATGGATTTCACCTTTGAAGGCAGTAGCTCAGAAGTGAGAGTGTACAGACATACAGCTCTGATTCATTTTTAGAGCACGGCACTCCTCTGAAAGGGCAGTTTGCCTCTCTCGAAGGCTAAAGACAGCAGAAGGAGCAGAATGCTGGGATCCTGGACCCTCTGTGGAGACTCAGGGTGTGGCAGAGCTTCTGTGCCCTGCTCAGCAGCCTGAGGCCTGGCTGGGGAGTGTGGGATGAAGGATTGGCTGGAGTGTCCAGCCCCATCCCTGCTCTGGGCACTGCAGTCTCCGGCCGGGCTCAGCGCTTCCCAGCGGGATCGGTGGCTCAGCTCCCTGTGGCAAAGCCCTGGCGTTTATTTACTCTCCCCTAGTGTTTCCCTCGCTGTGCTGATGTAACCAAGGCTGTTGCATAATAACCTAGTCCTCAGAGTTACT